GGTGCGCCGGAGGTCTCCATCTCGCCGACGCGGCCCCTCCTGCCCCTGGCGCTGCTGCTGCGGTGACGCGGTCGGCACCGCGCCGCAGGCGGCAGAGACCGGGGAAGGAGGGTCCCTGGGGAGACCGAGGTGTTCACGACGAGGCAGAGCGCGTCCTGCGTCCTTCACTGCAAGCTCCAGCATGGTGCCAGCGGCGGAAGCTGCTCCCTCCTCAAAAGCCCGCAGCAGAAGGCCTGCGTGAGGCCTGGCAGGGTCGGCTCCCAGCGCTGCACCGACCGAGCTGCTCCGGCACGGCCGAGGGCGTTGGCGTGGCTTGGATTTCACCGTCACCCGGCCTCCCTCAGAGCCACCCTGGAGATGTTGGCCCAGGAGGCTGAGGACTTGGTGGGGCAGATCTGGCCTTAGGAGAGCAGGAGGGGCAGGGGACGCTGCCTGCTTTCCTCTTTGTGGGACACGCCAGGACTCTGAGCTCCTGGGACTGGAGCAGCCCAGGAACAGGGCCCTTGGTGGTTCCCAGCAGGGAGGCAGCATCTCCTGGTCTTGAGGGTGTTCCTTGACCGTGACCCTGGCCAGGACGTGGCACCTTGCCTGAACTGCACTAAGGCAACCCGTAACCAGACGGTGGGAAGTAGCACGGCTTGACTCCTCAGCTGCAGCTATGCCAGCTCTGCCGAGGAGACCCCTTCTAACGCTGCCAGCTCAGCATCCAGATTCTTGCCTAGATGTGGACTTGTCTCTGGGGAGGGGTTACGTACGACCCACCAGAGGAGGGGGCACGTTCCCTGCCCTTGCTGGTTTCAGTGCAGAAGCAGCTAAGGAGCGGGCACTCCTCCCCTCAGAGCAGCCCTGCCCTGCTCACTGAAGCTGCGCTTGGCTGTGGTGGGGCGAGCGGCCCCCTGCCCCGTGCCCAGCGTGCCCAGCTGGTGGGAGCACAACACTTGCAGAGCTTTGTGGACAAGGGGTGGGGAGCACCCATTTGTTCCTTTCTTTTTGTATGAACTGCTCCGTACCATCTCATGAAAAACAAATATACGGCATATTTTAAATAGATACTTAAGCCTCATCGTGTCATGTTGCGTGCTAGCTGCAGCCCTGCAGTACACCCCAGAAAGCCCTCTCCCTGCCAAGCTCCCGGGACAGGGCGCGGGTGGAGGGACTGCAAACGCGGCTGCCGCGGCCTGGCCACCTCCTCACGCCGAGCC